TTCTTCCTATTGACCCTAAAAGCAACGTGAAAAGTCATTTCTGAAGCTCTGCAATTTGATCCCAGAAAAAAGTAGGGTTAAGCATGATGACCTTGATGCAACCAATCGCGCTTGATCGCTCTCAGCAGTTGGCAGATATCTCTCTCCCACCGTGAGCTGTCTCTCTCACACTCATTGGATTCCCATAAGGAAAACGGGGATCAAATTCCAGCCTTTATTGTGCAACTTTGAAAGCTCATCTTTGACTTTACACATTCTTCAGACATGCTGCTAGAACTTATTAGCTTCAGAATTTAGAGTCTTTCTCTTCATATTTAAATAATCGCTGATTTCGGAGTCAGATTTTAGCAGCGCGACGTGGTGGATTTTTTCAGAACTAACGCTGAAGATAAACCTTAAACTGTTCGTTCGTCATTTTCAAAAATCCTCATGCTCATTCTCCCAGCACGCACGAGCCACGAGGGAGGACAAAGTCAGCAGATTTAGGTTAGGTTCTCAATGTAAACATTACTTTCTGGGTGTGTTCTTCTTCTTCGACCGAGATACGCTGGGAGTGAGCCTTCTGTTGGTGAAGCCTATATATTCTGTGATGCCGACCTTGGTAAACGGTCGTAGTGAAGATAGTTTTTTACCTAGAAGCAATGCTGCAAACTTTGCTACTAAATTCCCACCTTACATAGGAAACGAAAATATTTCAGAATTTCAAAATAAGCGTAAGATTGTTCAAAATTTGACTGAAACTGCGTAATTGCTGCGTAATTTGAAAATTTGTGCGTAATTTCTGCGTATTTTGACAATTTTTCCTGCGTAATGGCGTGCGTAATTGGGACGTTTTTCTGCGTAATGTTGCGTAATTTGCTGTCGGGGTTGCGTACGCAGAACGGTAACACTGTCTTTGCCTGCAAAAAGTAAATATCGTGGAGACAAGGCGTTACAATTTATAATTTATTACCAGTGCCAAATTAAGTCTGTGCTTTTATTTCGATGACATGACTTTAATCATTTTGTATTATTTTCATCCCGTTCATGTGATTTGTAGGTAATGATAAGCACCAACATCGCCAAAGAACTCAAGGCTTCTTTCAGGAGTCCTGATGTTGTTAGGTTATCTGAGAATGAAGATAAGCTGAAGAATACAGAAAAGGGTGGTGGAGACAAGGTAAAATCATTCTTTGTCACTGATTCAGCTAACAGGAATCAATCTCGTTCAACCTCAAGAGATAAGTCCGAAAATAGGACCAAAAACCGCAGAAACAAGGATGAGTACCGTCAAGTTCACAACCACACCAGCAGTTACAAAAGTGGATTCAAAGGCAAAAACAGCGCTTCAAGGAAAACCGAAGACTTTTCAACCCGCAAATTTCAAGAGTCAACCCCGAAAAATAAGATTTATAATGGGTCTTACTCCAAATATCCAAATGACGCTGAAAGCAGATCAAGACCAGGTGAGCCTCCAAACAGATTTTCGTCTTTTTTTTTTTCATTTTTCCTCATCAGGTAGGGCTCTAGTTTGGGGTGTTCTATTGGTTTTTGGTAAGCTATCAAAATAATTCCAGTAATAATAATAGTAGCACATTAAGAAGGCCCCTGCCAGAGTGCCCGTATCGCATGTTGAGACAAATGTCAATTTCTGATTACGTCCGAATCAGCACCACTCAGCAGTTTAATACATGCAGTCAGATGGCACCACTGATGAGTGGTGATCTAAACAATACTTGACTATTATCTCAACATTAGATGCGTCCGCTCTGGTAGTTATCAGAATCGTCGAAGTTGACGCAAATGAGCTGTCATCGTGTATTTCAGGTAGTTCAGCTGAGGGCTTTTTTTTATCCGTGGATCGCGATGGATCTGGATCTTTGTGGCTCGAGCCAGTTCAGCCGGCCTAACTGCAGCCTCAACCCACTTCTGAAGAGTAGTTCAAGTGTTCCACTGGAACGTGCCCGTGGAACAGGGTAAAAAATTGATGCGTTTCTTAGCGATCCTCTGCAGTTCAGGTTAAGAAAGACCCTCTTAACTCCCCAACGGATAGGTACACGAGGTTGTAATGCTCTAACTATGAGTTTGTCTAGTTCTGACAACAGAGTGTGCCAGTTTCCTTAAGACAAGCATTACCGATAGCCATCGTCCCAAAACTCCTCTGGGAGTCGGCATTCCCTCATTCTATTTTCATCCCTGAAACTTTAATCATCATTCTTTTTTATCATTGATTTTTACTTTATAGTAAATCATGAAAACCGCCAAATGAGCCAAAATTAGGAAAATTCAAGGTTACTTGATGTCCAACTGTACAATAACATAAAAATACTCAAACAAAGCAATAAATTGCATCACGAAGTAAGTTCAAAATTGATGTATTACTCCCTCAAGCACGAAAGAGAACGCTGACCATCTTTGAAAAATTGATACATGGGTACCAAGTATTGATGCGGAGTAGACTGACAGCTCCAGTCAGATCTGGCTCAGCTCAGCAGGATCTCATCCATAGTCACTGCTTCAAGTCAACATGTCCAAATTACTGAAATTGTAAAATCCAAATTCAAATGTTTTCCAATAATATTTTCCTTACATTGCAGATCAAAGCTTTGTGGTATCATTACCAGAAGATTCTCGAATCTCCACCTTACTACGCAAAATGGCAAGAGAAGATGACGATGGAGCTTTGTGCAACTACTGTTTACAAATACAGGTAATAATACAGCTCTTTAGAAATAAATTACAAATTAAATAGTCATTATGAATTGTATTACAAATCAAAAGTCAGAAATTAGTCTAGCAAATCTAGTATTTTACCTGCCATAAATTCGCATGAACTGTTTTTTGTAGGTACAGGGTCTTTGGGGTCCCAATAAGACATGAAAAAGTTTACCATTAAGTTTCACCAGATACTTGGTTAATCTCAGTTTCTTAAATGGCCGTTGAGAACTCATGAGTCATTTCACATCAAAGGATCAAACTAATCGGCAAAATGGCACTCACCGACTCAGATTCTCCTGATTTTTTTATTCATAGGCAAGAAAATGCCAATTTTCTGATTTGATTGAAACTTCTGTAGGCTTAACGTTTAACTACGTTATCAAATGGCAATTGGTGAATTGTCATATACAAGTGGACAACTTGTTATTCAAATCGACTAAACTTTCGCAATAATTTTTCTCAATAAGTATTTTGAAGGCCTATGACTCAGGGCACAGCTAATCAATGCCCAAGACAGCAAGAAAAGAGTTGAAAAAACTCAAACCGCATATAAATTTTATTTTTTATCTAGACTAAAAAACAAAATTAAAACTTGGACGCTCAGTCTCTTAATTTTGATTGTTCTTTTTTTGACTCAGTGTAATAATTTAAATAAATGTTCTCCTCTTCGTATTGTCAATAAAGGCGTATCACTCTCTAATTTAAGCGGCTTTTTCTTGTCTCAGGAAGCGTTCACACTACCAGACAATAGTCGCTACATCCGACGAGCTCAAGATCTAATTTGTGAATCAATCCTAGGAATGCTGCACAATATGAGAGGAAAAGAGTCTAAAATTCTCCTCATAAAATCTCTTGGATGTCTGGGTCATGCATTAGATCAAGATTTTAAAAGGTAAGAACCTACAAGTTCCTGTTGTCATCTATTAGCATTACCTAATATGCCCAGAGCCTACTCACCTTCTGTTGAAACAAAAGCTATACCTTGTGTGATAACAACACTCATCATTAATGTCATCCAAGTGTATGCATTTACCTGTTGAGTGATGCTAATCTACCTATCAGAGATGGAATTTTGCCTAAAGAGACAATACTTTCATCAGTTTATTGTTTTAGAAGGCAAAGGAATCCTAACTGGTCCGCAAACTGCTTGCCAGAATCAAAAGATAGTTGGGGAAACTCCTTCGACAAAATTAGCGTATGTATGGAAAAATCTGCCAGTCTCATTAATGTTTTTTCTGAAAGAAATACACTATTGCGTGCTCCCTCATGATGGGACCTGAAGCTGGGACCATGTGACTCAAGTTGTCAATCACAAATACATATATCCTTCATTTTCTGTTATATTTACACATGTATACAATATGACAAAGCCAATACCTGATTTGTTGATTAAACTCAACATTAGTCTCATGAGGATCAACAAAGTAGTTCAACAAACCAGGTATGGATATTTCCTCTAAAATGGGTTAAATTACCAACGTTTAGGTTAGATTAGTTTACATTCTAAGTTAATTAGATCGTCACATCAGGCATTCATGCAGGTGTAGATATGCATGTATGTATTTCAGCGAATGTGTAATTATTTTTTTTGTACCAAAATATTTTTTTTTTTTTTTTTGTACCAAATGTTGCTTTCTGATTAGCAACATGTTTCTTGGGCTTTTCATTCTAATTGTCTGCTATTTTGATTACTTTTTTGTGTTTTCAGTTTCATGGACTGGATTTTTGCTAAGTACAAATCAGAATCATCAAATGACATTAAAATTTCTCTTATGAAAGTTTTGTCTGAGGTAAGTTCTCTTTGCTGTTACATAAGCATACCTAATTGCACCAAATCACGTCGAACAATATCGAGTTTCTGCTCTCATTGTTTTATAATTTAACACTTCAAGAATGTTTGCTATCCAATGTCTTTTTCCTGCTTCTTTCAAATCAAAGGAGGGTTAATTCCAAGTGCTAGAAATTATGCTCTCTTGATAACAGGAGCCTGAGATCTAAACCCTATTGATTGCTTGATACTATGTTGTTTGATCAGGATCTGGACTTAAATGTTACCAAGCCTCATAATCTTTCAGACAATCTCCTAGTTTCAAACGCATTGTGAATACACATTTCCTACCCACAGTTGTTTTTAGTTGAGTAAATCCGGTTAGCTAATGAGAAATATTTTCATCATTATGTCTGGGAAACCACTAGAAATGACTGTGACTGTATCAAGGTTTCCTTGATTTGTGTCCACAAGTGTTTGATTACTCAATAAATAAAAAAATTAATAATTTTTTCTACTTTCTAGGTGTTGAATTATGATGTGGCTAAACCAAGATTGAAAGATTTTGCATCGGTAAGTTACAAATACTTTGAGTATCTGAATAACTTTTTATGATCGAACTCTTATTCCCTTTTGTCCATAGAAAGTTTGCACATTCATTGATTCATCTGCACAAGTTTTTACTTTTGGGTGTAACTCAGCGTATAAAGTTCTCGTTACTAATACTTTGTTTTACTTAATAAATAAATTTAAAAGAAATTACAATATTTTAACTCAAAGTTTAAACGTAAACATATTTCTACAAAAGTGAAGGAAAACTATCTCCAAAGTAAAGGAAAACTATCTCCAAAGTGGACTCAATATTAATTTTAAAAATGATAAAAACTAATTTTTCAAAGCTGCGCCTTTTTTAAATTATTTTCTCAAATTTGAAGTGATGGAGACTCTGTGTTATTCGGGAGTTTCACCAATGATTTACATCGCAGTGTATCAAAATATCATATCCTATTTTAATTTTTTGCTAGGAAACTAACCAATATTTTTGCTCAAAATTTTGTGGAAATAACCTTTGTATGGGCAAGAAAAATCGCTGCAATTTTTGTGAACCTAAGATTTTTTCCTTTACTGTATTGGTATCTATTAACAATATTTAGGCCCCAGAGGTTTTTTGATTATCAGAAAAATACGTTCGGCCTTCTCTACAGTGTAATGTGTTGGATTGTTTATTAGCAGGTGTTTACTTTATTTGTTATACTTTTTGTTTTGTTTACTGAAGTTTTTTTGTTTTTGTTTTTTTTTTTCAATCTCCAGTTATTGATGTTAAATCTACAAAAGGAGTTAGAAGTCATTGATCAGGCAGACCTTTTGATTCCAACAACAGAAGTTGTGTTAACTTTGCTTGATTACTACACAGAGTCATCTCAAAAATACCTCAGGGTAAGCTATGTAAGGCTATGCTAACCTTCTGACGGTTTGAACTGGCTGTCTGGTTACATGTTAAAAATTTGGTTTAAACTTTTACTTGCGGTTTTTGCAATTTTAGTGGGCACTCGCGGGTCTGAAGGGCTGCTTGTGATTTCTAGGAAACACCTAAAATTTTGCACATGCTTGGGTATTATTATGATTCTTTGCAGAATTTTTTTAATTCCATGAAGTCATTTGTAATTTTTTCAATTTTGCGGGTATTCATATGTGGTCGCAATTTTCAGATGTCTTGCAAGTACTCCTCTACTACCATCCATTTTTTATGGACACCTGTGAAAAGTCACAGATTTTCAAGGATTTTTTGTGTTTTTTTTTGTGTTTTTTTTTTTTTTTTTTACCAAAGTTGTGTAGGTATTCACTAATAGATCTTAACAAAACTGAATGAAATGATCAAAATTGGAACATACCCCTGAAAGTGAATTAATTGTATAGAAAGAACTTAAATAAAAGAATGATGTCATGACCTGCTTTATGATGGCTTAATTCAGAATGAACCATCAGACAAAGCACAAATTTAAGCATTCTGTTGTATGTTTCCTCTTTAAAATTTCACGTAGAACACGATTCACACAATGCAAATAACTGATATTGGCTCCAAACCAAGGTTTTAATGCTTTTATTTAGTATTGGTCAGAAAAATGTTGAATTTCCCGCTCACAAGAAAATCAGGAATCAACTGGAATCATAGCGCACACTACAATGGTTCCGGCAGGCTTTCTAATCAAGCTGTGTTCCCTCCCTGCCCTGTGTTATTCAAAGTTTAAACAATGTGCAATAGTTGAGCTGAAGCAACAAGATTGAGGATGTGAGGAGGATGTTTGAAAAACGCGAAGTGCGTTTTCCATGACAGTCTTTGCGGTATGAAATTATTATTAATGGACCAATAGACAAGGTACGAATTTAAGCATTCTAATACATGTTTCTTGACCAGAATTTCACGTAGAACACGATTTGCGCAACGAAAATTACCGAAATCAACTCCTAACAAAGATGTTAACGCTTTTATTTCACATTGGTTACGAGGAATTTGAACTGCCCGCTCACAAGAAACTGAAAGCTCTACGTGAGTCAAGTCGTGCACTACAACGGTTTCAGCAAGCTTCTCAATCAAGCGATGTTCATTTCCCACCATGTGCAGTTCAAACTATAAACAACCTGCTATAGCTGAGCTAAAGCGTCAAGATTAAGGTTGCCAGATTTTTATTTCGCAGAGCCGTTCATGATAGCGTTTAACGCGCGATGTGAGTCACGTAGAGCATTGAGTTTGCATGAGCGGGTGGTTTGAATTCACGCATCAAGAATCATTAAATATCTTCATAAGGAGTTGATTTCGATCATTTTTGTTGTGCGCATCGTGTTTTACGTGAAATTTTGATTATGAAACGTGTATGAGAATGCTGAAATTCTTGCCTTGTCTACTGGTCCATTATGTTATCATTATTTATTATTAATTATTCTATGAACAGAAAGTTTGAATTTTTGCATGGAAAAACGTCAATATCTTGGTTAGGAGCTACTTCCAATACTATTTGTTTTAGGAATCATGTTCTACGTAAAATTTTGACAAGAAAATACATATTATCCTTAATGCTTGAATTTGCACCTTGTCCAACTGTTCATTTCACAGTCAGTAAAAAATGTTGATTGTTTCTAACATTCCTCGCAATTTGCTGCATAAGTTTTGTACCTCAGTGAAGAGTTATTTTAGTTTGTTTTCTTTTTTTTCCCCAGGATTTGCTAGATATTTTAGTTGGTTGGCATATTGACATAACGCAGCCAGGACGTGTAATATGGTTTGTCTCAGATGCACTTCAGAGATTGGCTAGATTGTGGATTGCTGACATGGGTTTTACTTTGTCTGTAATGTCGCAATTCTTAGACGATATGCAGTGTTACACAGAAGATCTTGCATCTATTGCGAACTGCAAAGAAAACGAGAAAGATTCAAGAGAGACCCTTCAGTCTGCTCAGGAAGCAGTCTCTAAACTGACCCTGTTTCTTAAGTAAGAATTTTTATAACTTAAGATAATTTTCTCTATCACTAAATCGTTGCTGTAATTTTCAACCCATTTAACTTACGTATACAGCAATTGAAAGAGAACAAATTGCAACATTGAAATTTCATGCAAAATTTGTTCAGTTTGCATTGTGAATTGCAAAAGAAACGAGTGTCTACCCCTCTTGACTTCAAAATAGACTTCATATTTAATAGGAACATTTCTCATTCTCTTATTCTACCTCTAGATATGAGAATTTTTTTTTGTATACCTTAAATACTTCCGAGGGGCTGACCCTGCAATTTTTCCATTACAGTCTGTTCATCCGTCTTGTACTGGCACTCATTAGAGCTCAAAAATTATTGACTCTAAGTGAAATCTCTGGAACTTTTTGGCCTTGTTTTCCCCACGAAATGTTGTGGACCCAGCATCTTTTCACCACCTTGTTAATGACAGCTACAATAACCATATCTCTGTCTTTTTTTTTACAGAGTATTTAACACAATGGTCAAAGCTTTGGGCCAACACTTGAACCCATCAGTATATCAGCATGTCTCATGGACATTCCTGAGTGACTCCTTATCGAAGATTTTGTCAAACGTTTTAGAGGCCCTCCAGCACACAGAAGACCAGGAATTAATAATCACAGGTATGGATTATCAAGATTTCAGGGTTTCGAACAATTGTGCTCACTGTGGAAATCAGAGCTATCAAGTCATTTCATTGTTAATACATTCGCACATTTAGACATATTTAGCTTTTGATTTGAGCATAGCGATATATTTCCTCATACACTTGCATTTTGTCTCTTTCGCAAATATGTCTACGGAAGTTTATTCATTTTTCTTTTAATTATCGTTAAAAAAAATTTATTGTTGAAGTGGTAAAATAATGCTCTCAATTCACAAGTGTTTCGGTATTACAGTGATCTAGAGTACTTTCAGAGTTGCCACAGTCAAGGAAAACTGGGGAATGTCAGAGAATTTCAAAAAGTCAGGGAAAACCCATCGACTTTTCACTGTGCTGCTACTGCAGATAACATGTACAGTTAACTTCCTCTAAGTCAAACTGCATTGGGACCAGATTGTTAGCTCTAATCAAAGAGAAATTCCACCAAGAAGGCTTTTTGTTCTTATGATATGTTTGACGGGACCTCAAAAAAGTTTGACTTTGAGAAAGTTAATCGTATCTTTGAATGGAATGTGGCCCAAAAATAAAGTGAAACATGTGTCTCCGATCTGTTGATTTTTTCTTAATATTTCTCAGTGTATCATCTAAAGTTGTACCTAAAGAAAGTGAATACTTTTCTTGAAGAATCTTTTTAAACTATGTCATAGCTGGTTTTGGACCTTGTTCACCGAAATGCGGCGAGTAATTTTTGAGCAGATTGAAACAGTAACCTAAAATTTTGTGATTGCTCCTAGGTAAAGGACGCACCTCTTGGCAATTACCACAACCCCCAAAATTATAAAGGGACCACCGTGAAAAGGGGCAAGAACTTTAAGAGTTACAGGGGTGGTGCAAGACTTCTGGATCACCCTGTAAAAAGGATAGACTGTTTTTTGCTCACCTGAAAAGAAGGAATTTTGGAGATATGTGGTGTCCTACTTTGGCCATTAATATAATATTGATGTTTTTTTATCTGTGTTCAATTCATTTAATTGCTCCTATCTTTATCTCTGTGTTCATCATTACTCTCTCTTTTTTTCAGTTAATGAAAGCGTTTGGCTATTACTATCTGTGATGCAATCCAAAACTTGTGCCGCCCATGAAATGTTACACCAGCTAATTGACTATGAACTGGACCATTCGAAATCCTTCAGAGCTCTTACATTAGCCTCAATGTTACAACTTATCGCCAAAGTAAGAGCACATACTCATTTCACTAATTTTAACCAACACTGCCTCTGCACCAATTTTTTTCATTTCTTATATTGAATGTTGATTGTAATTTTTAAATGTTCTAAGACTAGGAATACCAAGAAAAATTGATTTCCAAGTCAAGTCTTAGTTGGGGCTCAACATCATATCAATACATTATATCATGCCACATATTGACAGTAAAACTTCCAAACCTTGTATCTTGTTTGCCAAGTTTAAAAATCTCTCCAGCCTTTTTTTTTTTTTTTTTTTTTTTTTTTTTTTTTTTTTTTTTTTTTTTTTTTTTAATGGAGTTCGAATCAATATCATCCCTTGGAATTTTCACAGTATTCTCTTCATACAGAGAAAAAAAAAGGCCGAAGTTTTTCAAAATTAATGTTGAGTATTTTTTCCTTTAAAGAATAGTGTATAACAAGAAGTTTGCACTGTTCCAAACCGAGGTACGTGGTTTGGGAGACTCACCATTGATATCCATTAGCACTAAGGGCTGTAACTGGTGGTATGCTAAGCTTACCCTTTTCTTGTAGCCCATGCTTTGTTGTGGGTGGTGAAGTGTAAACAATGTGGAGTAAAGCTGTGCCATGAGTTCAGACCTGACTTCTGAATTCTTGCGTCATGGGTGAACTAGTGTGTGGGACTCAGCACAACATCATTTTTATTTCTTTCAACCGATCAAATCGAAAACATTGTTCGGTCTTGATCTTGGATCACTGCCTTCATTTCCTCCGCCGAGGTTTATAAAATTGTGTTAATCTTTTTATGCGCTGCACTGTCATGTATTTGCATTGCTTATTATTGTTGACTATTCATATTGACAGTGTAATTTAGGTGAATATTAACTTTACAAACTTCATTTTCAGATCATCAAAGAGGTAGGAGCCAACTTATCTTTGGACTTAGTTGACAAACTTCTCGGGCCGAAGTCTGTAATTTTGAAGTTTCGGTTTTCTGAGTCTACCCGTGTTCACAACGGTATAACCACTGTCTTCCAGAGTCTTCTTAATTTAAAGAATATTCCATTACTTCAGGGAGTGTACAGGTAAGTAATCATCTTTTATTAGTATTCGTTACAGCAGGCCCATTTATCGTATGTCTTTGGGAATAAAGAGGTTGCCAGTATGAAGGCACATACATCGTGGATGACAGTCTCGATGGTCTAATACAGAGTGTGCCTCTTGTCCCAACCGCGAAATCAGAAGATTTTTCTCGCACAAAAAAGCACTACCCTGTTTCAGCTGGATGCCTCGGCGAATTATCTGCTGCCCGGCTCCGGCTGGATACAAAAAAAAAAACCAATATCTGTATCCGTATCCGGTGATGCAAAAAAGCCATTCCAGCCCAACTCTAATGAAAATTATTTTTTTCTTTTAATTTGCAAGCACTACTACATGTTCTCATCATGAAATAAAATGAATTAATTTACCTTAAGGCACAATAAATTTTCAATCATCATTGAGAACTACACTGATTACGAAGTACTGCTGAAATACTTACGCATTACAGCTTCTTGTTCGTTCTATATTCCAAGAATAATTTTTGTTGCTGTATTAACTTTTACCATTTTAATTTGAAGTATGACAATGCTCTTTTTTGCACAAAAAGGAGTTTGCATTCCAGGATCACATTTATGTTAAAGATAAAACCACGAAAAACTTGCTGTCTTTCAAAAATTTCCTGTTACCTTCAAAGCTGTATGATTTTGTTTTGTCACATGTCTTGTCTTATTTTATTGTTTTGTTTACTTGATTTCAACAGTTATGTGATCCAAGATCTTAAACTAGCCTACGAAATCCTTACCGCTTCCAATGAAACCTCTTCGGAGTCCAAAGAGCCTAAGTTGTATTCCAAGAAGGATGCTGAAATTGTCATCTTATTTCACCTGAAAGGACTTTGTCACTTAGGTATACTTCCATCTTTTCTCAGATATATATGTATATTCTATCGGAAAGTTTTCATTAAAAAATTAAATAACTTCCATGTAACGACTTTTAGGGAACAGACTGAAATCATCTTTATTCCTGAGTCGTTCTATAAACAAATTGCTATCAAGCAGTAAAACTACAATCGAGCCATCCATGCTTTTTTGTCACTAGTGAATTATTTATACTTTTTGAAAACATTATATTATAACAAGGCTCTATAAAATATGTTTTACATTGTGTGTACAGTACAAGAAATTTGTTTCTGTTTTGAATTCTAGCAAATGAAGGAACATCGTTGATTGGTTTGTGGATGCTACAGCCAAGTATTTTGGAACTGATGGCTATCAAACTGTTCGCAGCATCTGAACATGTACCTCCGTCAGTTCAGTATGCTCACATCTACCTCTTGTACTCTCACTGTTCCAAATATAGTCATTTTGTCACAAGCAGCGGTCTCCTCATAGCACAAGGGCGTTTAAACGTGTCAGAAATGCTTGGACTCTCTAGTGCAGCTTGTGATGGCATCAGCACCATTTCACCTACAACTGGACATCTTTCCATTATCCTCACTGTCCTAGGAAAATATGTTGTTTCGGTGAGTTCATTTAAGGGCTGTATAGACCATGGATCTTGGCACAATGTTGCACGATCAAAATACTGCTATGGTGAAGGGAATATTTCCAGACGCCATCCTAGTCTTCTCAATGATGTGCCCTTGAAGAAATACTCAAAATCCGCAACTTTGAGCTTGTCTTCAATGGGTAATTATTGTTCCAAAAAAATCCAGGAATATTTGTGAGATCTAAAAATACTCCATTCTTCAAAAATGGAAGAGCTAAAAACCACCAAACAATCTCATGGAAAGAGAAACTGATAGAAATCTTGCCTCAAATCCATAAAAAATATTTTATCTGTCAAAAACCGCTGTCTTGGGTACTCAGCACTTGCTTTCAACTTGTGGTAAAGCTTAAACATAGAATTACTCCTGAGCTAATGTTTTTACAACTTAATTTTTGTCAAATTTACACTCTTTGGAAATGAACCACAAACTTCAGAAAGTAATTATTTTAAACAGTTCTATGAAGTCTTACAGTAAGATTCATAATTGACAAACCAAGTTCAAATCTACTTCAGATGTTGTCAATGCACCATAAGAAGAACCCAATAAAGCCAAGTAAGCCGCTTCCCCCCTACCTCCTAAAAAAAAAACTTTCGACCTTTTGACACTCACTGTCCTCTACCGTAGGCCAGAAAGATATTGATCCTTGCAAAATTTAACAGCTTTGAGGAAAGATGTCATGTTGCCATAGCTTAGTATGCTGAATAATCTAAAGAGTCATTCTCTCTTTATTCATTTTCCAGGATTTACAGTTTGAGTGTAAACTCCTTGTCCTCAATTGGTGCTCAGAATTGCTGTCCGTCGCAAGAATGTACCTCAATGTATTATCCTCTACATCAGAAATGTTAACCTTGGTTAAAGCGCTCATCAAAGAAGGTACAAACTCCAACAGGAGCTCTCTGTTGTGCTGTATTTCCGTCAGTCTGGAGTTGCTGTTCCTTCCTCCGAACACTCAATGTTGGCCTCTACCCATTTTATTGAAGACTCTTGAGCTATGTGTCCTTCATATCAATTCATCTGACAAAGTGGTCTGTGAACAATATTCCAACCTCCTGTTAAAAATTCCCTGGAATCTGGCTCTACTTCATTTGAAATCAATGGCGCAGGTAAGCTGATCCATCATAAACCCAATAAATAAGCTGATACATATATAGTAAACGTTTAATCAACTGAGCCTGAGTGATTTTGCCGGCTTATCAACATTTTTGTATTCAACTTCAACCTTTGCCAATGTCCAGAAAGAAATATTGCATTAACATATTTTGTGTTGAGTTGGACTTGTAAACTCCTAGCATACGCCTCCTGAGAAGCTGCCATGATTCCATAAACCTGGTGGCCGATAGCTGTAAAAATATGCTTCCTCAGTACCGCTGGCTCCTGATGAATGAATGATTCTTTTCTTATTTACTTGTTATCAAATTAGTACAAAACAGCTACAAAACAACCATGGTACAAGTCACAAGAATTTTTCTTTAAAATATTGTACCCTCCTATTTTATTTTCTATAGTGTTTACTCTTTCTTATTTTCAGAACCACAACTCTTCCTATTGGAGAGTTTTAAGCATCCAGAGAATGCAATTCATGCGTGGTACCAATGGTGAATTGCGTGGTACAAGTGGAGAACTACGGGGCACCAATACTGAACTGCAAGGAAAAAATGGTGAACTAACCAGTCACCATTTTAAAACATTCATGGCATATCTGTTACATGGTCAAAAGCAGACCACTTATGATACGGATGAAATGTGGCTCACGGACATGTTCTCAACCTGTTATGATCCCAATGCTGATGCAAAACCCGATTACTACAATTTAGTTATGAACAACAGCTCTGCTCTGTTACGCTGGGTTGTCTGGTCATCAGCACAAGTTTGCATCTCTAACCGGCTTAAAACTCCACTAGGCAGACCTCTTGACACTTTAATGGCCATAGAAGGTATTGCAATTTTCTGTTGTATGATTTCTTGCGATTAATTTTTTTTTTTTTCAGGAATAGTCATTTTTCAAAATATTACTCAGTTCTTTGTAGCTAACAATGTACAATTTCACACTTCGCCCTTCTTATTCTCTCTTTTTTTTCAGGTGCTATCAAGGGCCTAGCTCGAGAAACCATCTCTTCCAGCAAACAATCCGAAGGGGACCTTCGTCGTGCCAGACTCTTAATAGAATTCCTCGAACACCTCGAAAAAGGCGTCTACAATGCTGCTCAAGGAACTGCATCGGCAATGCTTAGCCCTCATAAACTGGTTCGCAACTTTTTTGACACAAACAAGAACACTTGTGAGGAATGGTTGACACGCAACCGAATGGCCTTAATGGGTGTCTCTTTACATGCAGGCATCGCTGCAGCCACAATCAGACACGGCTTTTGTCACCTTCAAGACCTCTTGGACGCAGGAAATTCTCAGACAACTGAGTTTCAAAATGCTGCACTGCATGTTGCATGGGCATTCAGCAGGCTAAAGGAGCCAGATGCAATTCAAGGGCTCTTCGTCTGGTGTAGGGATGTTGCCGGCGTGCAGCTGCCATTCTTGGAGTCACTCACCTCGCAAGCTGCTTCCAAGTATGAAGCCTCAATCGAAAGTTATAAGAAGTTGCAAATATTAGACAGTGTGGAAGAAACTAGCGAGGGAAAATCTCATGCTCATGTTCTACCAGTGAAAAAGTTTGTCGCTGATCAGTTGACAGAATGTTATGTGGCATTGCATGACTGGAGTGAGTTGGGTAAGTGGATGGAAGTAGAGAAGACGTATTGGAATACGGACAATGATGCTGCACTGACAATGAGACATCAGATTCTTGGATCAAATGATGTCAAAATAATGGATTTGTATGCCAGCGGTGAGCTCGAAGCAGCCAATGATTTATTGTCATGGCCTGATGAGAAAATAAATCTTTCTAGTAATAGCTGGATCTGCTTCCAAAAAATGAAGGCTGCAAAAATGACTTTAATGACAATCGGTGTTAATTTGGCTGTTGGAAAACTTGAATCAAATGTGGATGATATGATTCACAAGCAGTTACAAGTTACACAGGAGCTGGTCTCAGAAGGGCTCCGCAGTTCCTTGTCCGAGATTGCTGAAGAAGCAGCCATTTTGTTCCGTGCTGCATCAGCGTTGAAGGAAAAATCCAGCTCTGCCTTTGTAAGCCATCTCCTTCAATTGGGAGATAAAGATGTACCCTCTAGTCTATTGAGTGAAATTCTTTGGTGGACTCAAGTTTTGGTAAAAATTGAGGGGGCCGAAAATTCAAAGATTACAGACACGTATGTATCGAATTTGCGACAAGAAATATGCCGAAAAGCACGGAAAGAAGGAAATTTCATGCTCGCCAAAAGACAACTAATTAATCAACTAGATCATGTTTTGGAGACAAATATCAGCCCTAGCCTGAAGATGGATAAAAAACTTGAGTCATCAAACCTTGAGCAAGTTGCAAATGAATTTTTAAAATTGACAGCTGAATCAGAAAGCAATTGGTCTCTACCAAAACTCAAAGCAATGACTGAGTTGTCTAAGCTGGCATATTGTCATGGAACAAAAGAGACTGCCCTGGAAGTTTACTCTAAAACAGCTGCGTCAATAGCTCAAAGCAAAGCAAGTGTAGACAGTTCGATCAAAGAGGGCTTCTCTCGAACGCTCCTCACTCTTTCAAAGTGGATTTGTGTCAACAATGACTTATCAAAAAAGAGCTCTGACGTAATTAGTGAATTACTCCAGTTGAGCGAAGACTCCATCGTAAAGCTTGAAAACGTCTCAGGATCAGCCATAGCGGATCTTATCAAGTGCAATTTGTCAGAAAATAAAACCATCATTCCAGAAAGTGAAGTTATGGCAGGGCGTCTTATGCGCCTGTCGGCCCTTCACTGTCCGTCTCTCCGAAAAGCTTGGCACCAGTTTGCTGGCTGGAGCTACAGATGGGGCAGAAGAGTACTTGATCAGCAGGATAATGTTCTTAATGCTGAGGACAAGGCATTAGTCAATCAAATGGTTCCCTCAGATAGTGACAGAGAGAAAATTTTGAACATTTTAACTGTTACCACTTTGACCAATGATGAAGAAATAGATGTGGAAGACATCCACACAACAGAAATGATCGAATGGCAGCTACAAAATATTGTTCCTTTCTCAAAAGAACAACTAAAAATTCTTGTTGAAATCTGGCGCAAGTCTCATGTAAGAGTCTACAGCTACTATGAACTGTCAGCTAACGCTTATTTTAAGTATCTAGAACTTTGTGATGCTCCACATCCGGAAAAGGAAGATGATGATAAAACTGGTTCAGGGATCATTACAGCTACTCTGCGATTACTCCGGCTTATCGTTAAACATGCTCTAGAGCTTCAGAATGTTCTCGAAGTTGGCTTGAACTGCACTCCAACTTCTCCGTGGAAGAACATTATCCCGCAGCTGTTTTCAAGACTTAATCACCCTGAGCCATATGTACGCCGCTGTGTTTCAGAGCTTCTTTGTAGACTAGCTGTCGATTCTCCACACCTTATAACATTTCCAGCTGTGGTTGGGGCTTGCACAAACAAACATATTTCATCTGTCAAATTATTCAACACCTGTCTGCCGCGTAAAGAACAGTATGATGATTTGGAAATTCTAGAAGATGAAGAAGAAGACGATGAAGATGCTAATGCCAGTGGTGAAGAAAATCAAACGGAGTCGGATCTTGAAAGCTGTTTCCTAGCAATGGTTGACACTCTGGCTAAACAGGCACCTGAAGCTATAGCTCAAGTTCAATTATTGGTGAAAGAGTTGCGACGTATCACACTTTTATGGGATGAACTGTGGCTAGGTACCCTCCAGCAGCATCACAGTGAAATGTCAAGGCGAGTGGCTCAACTTGAGGCTGAAATCAAACGTGTTGACTCCAACCCTCAACTAACCGATCAAGAGAAAGACTATCTAGTTAGCGAGAAATACAGGATTATCACTCGACCTCTCCTCTTCATTTTAGAGCAGCTCCACACGATCATTTCTGTTGCACCAGAAACGCCTCACGAAACCTGGTTCCAAGATAAATATTCGGCATGCATTAATCAAACTTTGGAAAAATTGCGTAATCCAGAAGATCCACGAAAACCTCAAGAAGCCTGGCTATCATTGAAACAGTTGCAAGCCAGCCTTCAGCAGCGAGCAACAAAGCGCACAGCCATGATGTTGAAAATGAGTGAGATCAGCCCATGTCTATATGAACTTCAGAATACTCAAATAGCAATGCCAGGGGTGGGCCGAGTTGTAACAATTGCCGGTATCAAAGATCAAGTGGCAATTCTACCTACCAAAACAAAACCTAAGAAGCTTGTCTTCCGAGGCTCAGATGGGAAACCATACACATACTTATTCAAAGGACTTGAAGACCTGCACCTTGATGAAAGAATCATGCAGTTCCTAAGTATTTCAAACACTATGTTGTCAGGCTCAAATTACAGAGCGCGACATTATTCAGTCATTCCTCTTGGACCTCGTAGTGGTCTAATCAGTTGGGTGGATAACGTCACACCTCTTTTTGCTTTGTATAAACGGTGGCAGCAACGAGAAGCAGCCTCAAAACAGAGTAATGTCGTTAGGCCAGCTGAGTTGTTTTATGCCAAACTCACACCACTCTTGGAAGAAAAAGGTATCACAAACATGGATAATCGTAAAGACTGGCCACTGCCCGTATTAAAACAGGTGTTGACAGAGCTCATGGCCGAGACGCCCAACTATTTGCTGTTCAAGGAGCTATGGTGCATGAGCCTGGATGCTGGAAGCTGGTGGAAAACAACAAAAACTTATTCACGCTCATTAGCGGTCATGTCAATTATTGGATATATTCTAGGCCTTGGTGATCGCCATTTAGATAATGTTCTGGTTGATTTGGTCACAGGGGAAGTTGTGCATATCGATTATAATGTTTGCTTCGAGAAAGGAAAAACGCTCAGAGTCCCAGAGAAAGTTCCATTCAGACTAACGCCAAATTTAAGGACTGCCCTCGGAGCAACTGGAGTTGATGTAAGTACATACTATCGTAATAAATCCTAAATCTTAAAATCTGGCAAAACTTAATTATTTAAGTTTGTTTACTAAGCAGCGAAGTTGTGTTTCTGCCAGCTTTTAATTCAACGTATGACAAAAAATTCTTATGATGGAGAAATGAAATTTATTTAGAAATAATTTTTGCTGTACGATTGTAAACCTGGGCTAAAGAACCATAAATACATTTTCACCGATTCAAAAAATCAGGGGAGAATATCTTAATCCTTAACACCAATCCCTTAATAGCATAAATTATTACTCAATTATTTTGATGAAAAATGCATCCATTGTCAATGGGTCACACTTTTTTGTTTTTTTTTTTTTAAATTCCTCGTATTGAAAAAAATTAGAATATATTTTGAGTAGTTTTCCAGTATATATCTTAACCCAATGTCTCTAATTTTGTTACTCTCTTTATCTAATTGGTCCATTTTTTATTTCACAGGGAATATTTAGGTTATCTTGTGAGCACGTTTTGCGAGTCATGAAAAAAGGTCGGGAAACTCTCTTGACCTTGTTAGAAGCATTTGTTTATGATCCATTGATTGATTGGACCCTTGGCAATGAAACTGGATTTACAGGTGAGTTTTCACTCAGCTTTTAGATCGAGTCACATTTTCTTACAAAAGCCGTAGTTTGGTAGTTTCCATAGTGCTAATAGCGCTATCTACTGGCTGGCTGTATAACCAAATGTCACTACCGCATGCTAAATAGTGCACCACCATCATACCACCCTGATTTTTATATTGTTCACCCATTTTCTGCTGATGTCAATTTGCTGCTTTCTTGACCTATTAATGCCTCTCCTTCCTGTTCTTTTCCTCCGTTCCTGCACCTTTCTCGTAATAAATAATATATATCAATGGCTAAAATTGAAGAATGCGTATCCTCATTGCAAGGTTTCAAAATCTGTGACAACGTTCTATTTTTCAAAGAGAAAACCAACTAAAATATCTCCTTGTAATCCTCCATGAATAATTGAAATTTGAAGAGTATTCACAACAAATTTCAAAAAAATTATTGGTCAGTTTTCTTTTTATGAAAAAGTTACACTTGAGCAGAAATTTACAATGTCGCAATCAGATCAATTTCCAACTTTAGTCGTGGATGAATTACTTAATTACTAATAATATTCTTCAGGAATTAATTTTCGAACTTCCTGTCTCGTGATTTATTCTCTAAATAAAATCTTGAAAAACAAATTACAAGTTATAAAGTTTAACAAAGTTACAAAATTTTTTAGTTTGCACCTTGTCCAGTGCTTTATTAGATGGCTTTGCCATAACTAACCAACTGGTTTTAGCAAACAAAGGTTATTTCTGCCCGTCAGCAGTTGGAAGAATTCTTTTTTCAAAGTGATGTAAAAAAATCTGCCAACTGTAGACCTTCCTCTGAACAAGCCCCTTGTTTTTTAATGCTATTTTTCTGTCAATATGAACACTGTCCCATTCTTCCTCATCCATCATAATTGTATCGCATTTAACAGTCAATTTTAGTCACTGAAAATATTTAAAATTGATTTAGTTGAAATCAAAATATCCCTCATAAAATCTGTTGTTAATTCATCCATTTAGATGTGCCCTTTAAAATTTGTCCATTTTATTTGAATAGTCTCAGAAGACTTTTTTGTTACCATCTCTTAACCTCTAAAATTTGTTTTCAGGTGCTGTCTATGGTGGTGGGAAAACATTAAACCTAGAAATGCAGCAGAAGAGACAGCAACTGGAACGAGAGGTGACTTGTTCTATGCTCACTGTTCGAGTTGCTGAAATGAGATTCGAATGCCAGGCTAGCAGGTATGCCGACATATTATGTGGGAAAGTAAAACAATCCTCCAAATGCAGTAATGCGCTATCGTTATGTAAAAAATAGGAGAAAGAATCAGAAGACTTATAGAGCTCTAATTCCAACTTCTCATATTTTATAGCTGCTAAAAGGACCATTTGACCCTCAAATGCCCAAGGCAGGCCCAAATTGACCCAAGGCTTGTTACAAATATGTGCCCCACTGTTTGTATGGGACCAATACATGAGAAAAGATACAGGTTTATGAAAACATCCTAACAGAAGATCAGGCATCAAATCGGAGGGGGGGAGAGAAGGGGGAATGAATGAGGGTGAGGGAATTTTTATTGATGACTGCCCCAAGATGAGTAGAGTCCATCCAACTATCTCTCACGGAGAAATTTTTGTTCTTTTTCTTCAAGTATGGATTAATATTGATCCATTCTTAAGAATGGAAAAAGCTTCAATTTTCTTTGCTCATAGTGAAAAGGGTCACAATAAAAAATCAAAAAAGTCTTGGCTCATTATATATCACTGAAGAACAGAATTTTATGTATGCTGCACTAGTATAATGCAGCATTCCGTGAAAACACTCCCAGGTGATGAGCGATAGAAGAGTCTCTTTCCACTGCTTTGATCTTGCTACTGTTAGCCCTATACACTCCGAACCTTTTCACTTTCTCGCTACCCGAGGGTAGAGAAAGTATTGTTTACCTTGGTTTTTCTCCTTATCTGGTTTGAGCAGTGAGAAATAACTCCAATATCTTTTGCCATCATAAACCTTTTCCTTAGTTTACTACCCACATAGTTCTTGTGTGGGTCGTTCTTTTTCTCAAACTGTTTTGGTGAGACTTTCACTGTTCATTGTAAATTTAAACCATATCAATGAAACGTTTTTCTAGGGATAAACTCATGCAAGAGTTAAAGAATCTGCAAGCTTGTATTGAAGAGTGGTTGGAAGAGACAAGAAAGCTAGAAAAAGGAGAAGAGCGGTTAGCTGAACAGCACGAGCAGCTTGCCCTAGTGAAGGAGGCTGAGGCCTGTCCTCAACACTCTCTCTTCTCACTTCCTGCACGATATTCTTCGCACCAGGCAGCTACATCAGCTATGGAGAAAGTGAGAACGTTATTGAATGAGAAAGTCATCGACTGTGATCGCCACCTAGCGCAGTACTCTGTAAGTATTGTATATTCTTTTTTGCCCTTGAAAGAGATCGTAGGATGAATAGTCAAAAGAGAAAATAAAAGTTCTTGTGTTTGCTTTTCACAAGCAAAATATGTACTGGTCAGCTCAAGAATTAAGGTGATAGAATAATGAAGGTTTTACTATAACTATTGTCCTCTTTCATTTATCATATTTGTTCGTTATTTATCCTATCATTTTTATTAATTTATTTATTTTTTATACTTACTCCCGAATTTGATTGAGAATATTCAATTTCCAGTAAAAAAAATTTGTAACTTCATAATTGAGTCGAATCCCTCATGAATCATGTCTCCTGAAATACTTTGTTGGTTTGATTTTAGGCTGCTCTTAGCTGCATCAGTGGTCCACAGTTGTCTCAATGGTTGACAGAGGTCAATGCCCGCACAAAAGTAAATGATGATCAGATTTTTGACCTGGTCAGTGAATTTCTTCAGACTTCCGGTCAAGCTGCCCTGCTCTCGCAGGTAATCACATTTAGGATGGCCAAAATCATCTGTACCAGACTTTTTCCTTTGCTATTTTAAGTTAGACAAAGTTGGGGACCACAGAGTCGAATCAGGAATTGACGTTGAGGAATCTCATCATTTCAGAGCTCTCCTGATCAAGTAGTATGGTATCAATGAGCATGGCGCCAACAAACAATTTTTTTGAGTTCTGTTGACACCATAATGTTACCCAAAAAAAAATGTTGCCTACTTTAAAATAATGAGCAAGAAGCAACCAGATTTAAAACTTCTTTTTATTTGTGTGTCACCCAAATCCTTTATTTTTCCTAAATTTATTTTTCTGTTAGTTGACAGCAGCCACAGAAAAAAATCGGATACCCATCGCATCTTCATACTGAAGTTCCCAAGTAGATTTGTGCAAGATGTCTCAGATCTTGACTGCAAATCACTCACCCCCCTCCCTTCCAAGGGGACCTTGCTAATAAGTTTAAATGACTTAAACACGATCTGTAAAACCTGGAAAAATGAGAAGTATACATTTTTAGAGAAGAAATGGAACCCTATTTATCACACACTTTGGTGCATTTTCAGTGTCTACAGCTGGAAAGTGACGTATGTGAAGTGCGTTGTGAGCAGACAAAACTGACTTCATCTTGTTTAGAGCTCTTACACCGTTATAGCACGATAATAAGACTCCATCCAACTGCCAGACTAGATCACCATCGAGCAACCTGCTACCGTCGTTGGGCCTCAGCCATTATTCAACATATGTCTCCACAAATGTAAGTCTTCCCAAATTCCAAACAAATCATAATTAGAAAAATGTTCACAGCTTGTGTTTGATAATGCACCATCTCTAATCCCCATTTATTAATGAGTAATACTTGTTTCTTTTTAGATAAAGTTTACACTGTAAATTATTCTCGATTAATCTCCAAAGCATGACATCATTTTAGTCTTAAGGAAACTAGCATATTTTATCAAAAAAAAAAAAGAAAAATTCAAACTTAAGTAATTTTTTGTGTTTCTGAGTTGAGCTCATCAATCAGTCACTCCTAGTAAGTTTCCTCCTTTTTTATTTTCAGAATTGCAGAGGTGAATTTGGAATTCAAAACCCTTTTCAATTCACCAGACACCAACACCCTAATCTCTCAACAAGCTCTTGCGTATTCAATAGGCCTCCAGAATACGCTTCATGATGCGCAAGCGCGCCTGACCAAAACATATGAGCGTTCCAAGAGTTTTCCAGCGGCAGATGTGGAACTTGTTTTGACTGAAGCTGATAAAGGCATCTTAAAAGCAAGAGATAGGTGTCCACTTGCCCTGGAGTGTGTCATAATTACCACACTCTGTAATTTGAACAAACGATTTCTAATGATGGAAGCTGCAGCTGCAAGTAAGTTCTGCTCCGGAAGTTAGTTTTTTGGGAAGTCTGAAAGAGTTGAAAACGCATGAGTAAGAAAAAATGTGTGAAGCTGTTAGTTAAGTTCTGTCTATCAAACATCCGATGACGATGATGAGGATGATGATGTTGAACGAAAAAGTCTCTTATGTAAAATTTGTGATTGTTTGCCATCCTACATTTTTTGTGAGACCACAAAAGAACGTCAAACAAACACTTTGTTACTTACTCTGTCTCATCAAATGATTATATAATTGATGACCTAGTAGAAGGAGTCATCAGATAATTTTTACCAACAGACCTAACGAAAGTTCCCTCAAAAAGTCGACCGAAGTATTCGCAGTTGATTAGATATTGGACTGTTTGAATTTGGATGAAATTTGAATTTAAATGTAAAATTTTAGATCTCCAGAAAATGGAAAAAATCCTTGAAATAACAACTCAGTGAAAAAACAATACTGAGGCAAAGAGTGCGATCTCCTTTTCCAAGTAGTTTCTTTCTTTTGAAAGGCTTTGTTCAAAGCGGATATTCCAATGCAGGTCGCCTCCTAATGGTTTAAAGTGTCCCTGCTGGTCACTGTTCAAATTAAGGTCTTCTATAGTTCAAGATAGATTTGAGGATGTATGCTGTGAAGTTTGACCACTTATTCGTACAAATATTGCCTCAAGGAATTATTTAATATTTTGTTTTATTTTAGGTGCTGGGGACTGTCTCTTGGATTTAACTTCTCGTGACGGAGACTGGTTCCTTGATGATTTGTGCTGGACTGCAAGCTCAGCAGTCAAATTGATATCTTACTTCCCGCCACCAAAGTCTGAAAGCTCCACCGAAGCTGATTTTCAGTCAACCTTGAAATGCCTTCACTGGGCGCATAAAATTTTCCGAATTCTCCAAGAGCTCCTCGTCAATGTTGAGTCAATTATTTTACCGGAATGTTTGCGGACAGTCTTGGTCGGAGAAAATAGTGTACTAGCCATGGTTGCCCAGTTGAGTCATATCACTAACTCCACACCTGTCCCTCTCTCGGAATTGCTGCATCAGTTGGGTCTTCACCTTCGATTTGTCGTCATGGGAATGCCGGTTTGTATTTCCTCTCAATTCAGAATAAATTTAATGCCACGTGAAATTTGTTCCTTAGGAGTTAAGTTTTGAAACATTATCATGGAGATCTTAGAGCTATGCCTTTTTTTTAAAGAGAGAAGAATGAAAAAACATCAGTCTATGACGACGATGCCACCATATGCCTGACAAATTGATGACAAAAACATAGGAAAGCTATGGATTTTAAATATGAATGTAGTGATTAATAATTATCGAAGATTTAGCTGACTGTATCCATGTATTTCTGTTCTCAGTCCCCGCACAGCAATGCCCTTCAAGTCGTGAAAGATTTACGGGAACAGTTCAAAGCATTAACAAAAGTTAAAGAGGCGGAAGACTCCCTCTCTCAAGGTCAGATGCTTCTGATGGCGTTCAACGGTCTTTTTGAAAATCTTTACATCGAAACGTCTCAGCTTTTTACTGCTCTTGGAACTTTGCAAGTGCCATCTGTTTGGAAAATTGTCGACCAAATTCGTGAAGCCAAAACTTTTGCTGTAAGTACTCACTAGATTTTTATCTTTTGTCCCATATTTTTTTTTCATATTTTATTTCCTACCAATTAGTGTTATCCTCTGTTTGTTGTTTATCTTTAATTTTCTCCTACCTTTTAATTTTGAAACTGTAGTTATTCATTCTGTGATGTTCGGCAAGATCCAGGGGCCTTGATGTTTTTTAAGATGTTCAGTCCTGTTTGAGAAGCAGTTAGTTGTCAAACTAACCATCATAATTATAATAGAACAGTGATTACCCGCGTGATATAGAAACACAGCAGAAGAGAACCACTACCAATTTTGTGTTCAACAGTAGCGTGAGACTTTAAGACACCAATTTGTTGAATTTTCTTCAGGATCGCAGAGTAAATCTGCAAAGAAATTACCACTGATGGAAAAATTTGGCTCAGGTGTAAAAACCTTTAAAAAAAATTCGATTCAAATCTGAATAAGATTCAAAATTGAAGTTTTGAATAGAGCGGCAAGAAGAAATTGAAGAAATTGCTCCCTCTACATCTATGTTAGGGAAAAACTATATTTTCAACCTGTAACACAAATTTAAAGATTGTTAAATAGACTCACTATTCTAATTAAGTGGATTCCAAGGTTTTAAAATCTGAATTCCAATGAATCTGATCTTCAATTTGATGTCATTTTACAGGCACCTGTCTGGGAAGTGGAATTCCGGGAGGTGCTAAATGACATGTTCTTGTTAAAACGACTTCAAACAATGCAAGACTTCTTCTCACTTTGCACAATCATGGGAGCTGGTTTCATTGGTGGGGCTGGTGCACCAACATCGTTCTACAGTGATGATATCTTGTGCAAACCGGTTCGACGATTCATTGCTGATTTCCTTGAACGCAACTTGCTCGGAGTATTTTCTCACACTCTAGCTGTCACAATTTGTCTGCTCTTGCAGCGCAGCGGTCTAAATGTAACAAGTAAGTCTTTTCATATCTATTCTCAAGACTTAAATTTGTTTCTCCAATTTGGGGTACGAAAATCAATCGGTTTGTGAAGGGTTACCTGAAAACGAAAATGAATTATTTCGTTTCAATGGAACCGGTATGGTCTTTTCAATCATACTCTCTTAGTCTGGCAGTAGCTTGAAAAATAGAGGACATTGAGGACAAAGGACTTAATGACCCAATGGAAGTATCAAATTTTTATAAACTGCAGCAGCTTTTCTCCTAGCTGGATATGAAAATCTCAGTAATATCATTTTTCATTCAGCATTTCAAAGAATTGATCTGGGTAAACCTGAAAAAGTATGCGAATTCCAATTTCAAATCCACCATGACTGTCTAAAAGTTGAGGAAGCATCTACTGACAGAGAAGAAAAGCTAGATACCACAGTAGAACTTACATTTTGTGCTGTGTCAAAAAATTATAATTTTTTGTAGAAATGTTACCATTTGGCGATAAAAATCCCAAACCATGTGTTTCGTTTGCAGTGTTAAAAAATATCCGCTCCAATTGAAGTTTTGTAGAAGAAAATATACCAACATCATTCCTTGAAGTTTTTTTAGAATTTCCTTGGCACTGGAGAGAAAAACCATGAAAACTTTTAAGAATTGACATTGAGCAGTTCTCCATTAAAAAAATAAAGTATGACAGGAAGTCTCCAATGTCGCAAACAGAGATCCATGGTTTAAGAATTTCTCCGCCGCATTGCTTCCTTCCGTTATACTTTTTTTGTCCCTGAATATGACTCTAGCTTTATATTAATCCTTTGTTTCAAGGTGAAGTTGAACAGAGAGATATTGGAGCCCAGAACAAAGTACCCCTAGAGGAGTTGTGTCATAAGAATGTAGAGCAGAGCTTGCGACAAGGGTCACTAAATTCTTCTGCTTTAGCTCAAGCGTCATCACTAGTGAGCCATTGCGAGAATGCTTGGCGACGCCTAGAGATAGCTCAGCGACTCACTCAAGACATCGAAGTGAGCAACAACACAGTGCACCGGTTACAGCTACAATTCACAGCACATTATTGGCTCCATGAGGATCTTCTCACTATTCATAGTCTTCCAGGTCCTCCCTTAAGTGAGTATATGCCGTTTGAAAATTTTTGATTTCTGAAAATGGTTTTGTGGGCGCTGAAGATAGACAATTGGACGGAGTTAAACAGAAAGGAACCAAGCCACATCGGGATCGAACCGAGAAAAAGAGGTTTAAAGTTTAGCTCCTGCATAAGACTCAATGTAAAAAAAAGATAAACTTCAAGTTCAATTTCTGCAAAATTTGCTCCAACAAAAACTTTGAATTTTTGGCGATAGATAGTAAGGCAGTGGTTGAGTTCAAAACCACTCATAACTCAATTTTTTCCAAAATGTGGGTTGGTTCCTTTCTGCTTAACTCAGTCCAATTGCACTGTGATAGATGTCACCTAGTCTGGAAAGTCCAGAAATAGTTCTGATTTTTTGAACAATCAACTGCCCTCCTTCGACTATCTACAATTCTAAAAAAATTTTGTAGTACAGCGTTCTAAGTTTGAAATTAGAGTTCCCATCAATAATTCTAGTGGAAAATTCTATGTTTGCCCTTCCAATCACTTTTACATTATGTCATCAGAGAACCCCTCCATGACATCATCTTACAACAGTTAATGACGTCATTGAAGTACCTATTCTCTGCTGTTTTGGGGCATTTCAGGCTTTTTTCGGATTGACGCTGTCATCCACAAACTCAATGATCACTATACAGTGTTTTGGGGCATTTCAGGCTTTTTTCGGATTGACGCTGTCATCCACAAACTCAATGATCACTATACAGCCTAATATTCCTTGTTCTTTCTATTTTTCGTCATTGACCATGAATCCAAATGGATAGCAACAGTCATGTCCCTTTTCGAAGTTTGTTGCCTGTTTCTTCTGGAGGGGGAGGGGGAGGGTTGTAGATTTTCATATTTTTTCATTCTCATTTTGTATTCTAAATTCTGAAAATTTACCTAAAGGGAAGCCTCGTTTTTTCGACTTTGGCTCCAAGTCTTTAATTTATGTCTTTTTATTCATTAGATTGTGCCATTTGTTTAATTTTGCAGGTCGAGCCCATTTAATGCTTGATCTCAGGAAAACCTCGTCGGCACTGCTAGCTCTGCAAGTGAAACTTGGAGAAGTCCGAGAACAACAGTCTAACTTGATAACAACTGTTGAGCAACGTCTGAAGTGGGCTGTAGGAGCTAATCCTGCCTTGACAGATGTAAGTTTCTTTTTTGATCTCTACTTAGTAATCAAATAGTTTTACTGAAAATGGCAAATTCAGGCTGTAAGAATCAATGTGCTCACTGCTTTTCTGTTGAAAGGATAAATAGATGAAAATGAGTCAGTTTATCTGAGGTGGGACTGGCCTGCTTGTAGTTGTTTACCATAGTTTTTAGCCTGAGAAAAACAATTAGCTGGTTTAAATCTCCCGCCAAGTTGTCCCAGCAAAGAAATAATGTTCGTTTTTGTCGGAGTGTCCAAAAGGCATTTCAACAGAACCCCTTTTTATCGAGAACATGTATGTCACAAAAGGAAGATGGCAGTCGCAATGGCAATTACCAACTTCCCACCACACTCAATTAAAGCGTTATATCATAATTCATGCAGTAAAGTAAATTACATCATTTTCCCGGATAAAGATTTGTATCACAGCCTGATGAACAAATTTATCTCCACTAAAATCTACCTTCAATGAAACGTACCTCCGGCATATCTGCATTTTAATTTTACCACAAGAAATCAATTTTTGCAAATGTAGAATTTTTTGAATTTTTTTCTTTCCATTTTAGATTCTGAGTGCTTTTGAAACAAATGTGTTAACTGAAAGCGAGCGAATTGGATCAGAGCAGCGACTGGCAGCTGCTGTTGCAGGCCTGTGCTCAACATTCCTGCACCATGAGGCTCTACGCACAAGAACTAAAGAAGCCCTAGCCAATGATGCTGCTTTCATGGAGGTAACCACAGATAGTTCTATTTTCCAGGTTTTAGATCCTTTGATCTTATTTACTCTAAAGAAGTGATAAGGTCCACTCGTACAAGATATGCTTGATTTAAAATCAGTTTTTAACATGGATTTTTGTTTGAACTTGGACAGGCTACACAGCCAATGCAGTATTTGAAACATTGAAAATATTCATAAATGTCTGTCAGTGCCCTCCAACTCTTTGGTCCGTCATGTGCGTCTTATTTTGTGTCGTTTCTTTGCAATGTGTTGTTCTCTCATACCCTTACAAACTGATGAAAAGCTTCTTCACTGCCAAACTGCCAAACCTTCAGCTTTTATCATCATCAAACTTAGTTTATCAGTTAAACCTTTTTCATTGAATGTAATTAAGATCTGTTGCTTGATCCATATTTTAATTCAGTTCTAATAGTCTGATGTATTTTATTTTATATTTTTCAGTTGATTGAAAAATGTGATCATGCAATTTATCTCTCTATCAACACCCATGGTTCCTTGACACCCTTAGAGGAAGGATTAGTGAAACTCATTCCTCCTGGAGAAGTTATTGACTGGTCATGGTTGAAAAAAGCAGAAACATTAATATCAGGTACTTGCTGGTGATGAATGTATTATTTAAAGTCATTTCATACAGAAATAGAGTTTATTATTGCTGGAATAGCCAATACAAAAATTGATGTTTTTGATAAAGTCTCTAATTTATTGGGAATATTTTACATTTTTTAACTGGTTTTGAATATTCTCTAGTCCTTTAGTTTCATTGAAGTTGAGGAGAGCATAGTTAATCAATCCTAAACAGCTCTCGATTTTGATTTTTTATTTTGTGAGTTTAATATTTTTCCTCTACTCTCAAATTTCAGTCAAGCTTAATAAAATGCTTGTTTTTATTTTTTAAAATGAATTGAAGGAAGGAAGGAAGGAGAAGTATGAACCACGGTTCATATTTTTTCCTCCCTAGGTGAAGTTGTGCCAGGTATGTTTAAGCCCTCCAGTCAAAAGAATGAAAGTAAAAAGGAGAGCTAATCTAATTTATCGAATATCCCTCAGTAGAATTTTTTGAGAACTTCTCTCTTTAGGAGATAAAATTATCATCTACATTTTATTCACATGAATTAATGGTGAATCAAATTTTTCTGCTTCCCTAGGATGCACACTAGAAGTGTTACATTCAATTGAACCACTCCAGTTGGCTGTGTTTGAAGCGCACAATAAAGTTAAGATTTGTGTTCAGAATTTACGAAGACTGACCGTCTCACAGCTTAGAATCATGGCTGATATTCGCTCTCTGCTCAAAACCTTCCTGAAAGTGAGTAATTTTTACTCTAAATGTCATAATCAGAATCTTAAAAGTTGTTGAAGAAGTTTTTTTAACACAAGAAACATGAATATCTTTCCATTCCATTCATCTTACCATTTTCCAAGGTTTCATAAGTTCTTTACTTACCCATTTTTCACATTGGCCCTTTTTATATAAGAATCTGTGGCCTTCCCATTTTTGTGAGCGACCATGTATAAATGGCGTGCCACTCCAACTTAAAATGTTCGCGTTCTGGGGATTTCCAGCATTTTAGAAGGTGGGTTCCATTATTCACTCTCAATTTCTCAAGGAAGAGACAAAAAGTAAAAAACAATGGATAGCCTAAATTAGTGAATAAATCTATACTTTTCAATTTTACTTTTTTAGTAATTTGTATCTCTTTCTTTTGTTTTATTCATTTTTTACTCTCCAGTTAGTAAAATCAACTTCCTTGTCTTTCTATTCTTATTACACTGTCTTTATTTCCCTTTAGGGTATAATGATTACTTTCAAGCACCATCCCAAATGTTTTTCATTTTTATCTAATGAGAAATTAATTTGCTCCTGTACATCTTAGCAGTTTTCTGATTTTCTGTGCTTTTTCAGATGGAGGAAAATAGTTTCTCAAGTCTGCAAGAATATCTTGGTCACTACAAACTATACCATGAGCAACTAGCAAACTTGATAAAAGAACTTCTTCCAGACACTTTCTCTGCCTCAATGGCTCGTGACGCTATCATTAAAATATCAGCCATAGTAGAGTTAACTCGTAAGTCTTCCTGTCATCACTTCTTTCTTTTTTTCCCGTTGTACGTTGTGCTTGTTCATAATAAATTTACACAGACTTGAATGCTATTGTGCAAATTTCGAAGAGTCATCTCCTTTTTTACCGTGGAGATTAATTTTTTTTTTCCTCTTCTTTTTTCTTTTTTTTTTTTTTTTAATGTTTTGCGAGAGTACCACTGTGTGTGCCTGTATGCAAATGTGTCTTCAGTCCATGGGTTCTTAATTTATTTTCTGCTTCTGAAGTATTGTATAAATGGAAAAAAAAATGTAAACCTGGCAATTTGAGTAAGTTTAAGAGTTTTTCTTCTTTCTTTTTTTTGACTAAGGTCTGACTTGGTGAGGTTAAAATGTATATGTATTTGTTTTTTGAAAATTTTGGAGGGTTTCTGTATTGCGTAACAAGACTCATTAATATTCCATTTTGATTGCAGCATTAATCTATGATGAACTATTGAATTTGTCCTTGGATAAAAGTGTAGAACTGAAGCAAAAAAGACCACCTCTTTTGAGGCAAGAGCCAGTTTGTATGTCTCCGAAGAAAGGAGTGCCCGCAGGATTATCTACTCCTAAAGGTATGAGACCCTTTGCCGTTTGTTTAAGTGCCACAAAATCTCTTTTCAATAAATTTATGTGAATAAAGCTTCACATTATGCATTTTGAATTTTTTCCTTTTTTTCCTTTTTTTTTCATAGCAATATCTAACTTAGTATTGATCATTGCTCACCAAATATCACTTCATTAACTGTTTAATAAAACAAAATCCAGTAATTCAATATTCAAGGGACAACAAATTATTGTAACAACCAATATTCTTCTGACACATCCCTTTCCACCTTTTTTTCCATGACTTGATGAGGATTGATACTTCACAATCAAAATCCATAAGTCTAAATTGAAGTGTTGGTCATAGTTTTGGTATGTCAGTTTTATGCATCGTTCACGAATTTTTATCTTTAACAGAATCACACTCACCTAATCTTGTGAGGTTTTCACTACGCCTCATGAATCCTACTGTTATGACATTCAAGAAACTTGAAAAACTGCGTTTTGGTCAAAGCAGCATCAGATTTTACCATTTAATGAAAGGAATCTTTGTCCTTTACTTAACTGTGCTCTTTTTCTTCTTTAGGGCGTCGACGTGGTGTCATGCAAGAACGTAACTCATATGCTATGTCAGTTTGGCGGCGAGTGCGCCTAAAATTGGAAGGACGCGACCCAGATCCTACCAGGAAGTTGACTGTTCAGGAATCGGTTAGTAAAACAGTAATATTAAATTGGACTCAGATTTCTTTTGCTAATTCAATTTTTATTCCTAAATTTATTCTTTTGTATCTCATTCACAATATGAACAGATTATGCTCAATAATAAGCTCTGTTCTGCGCATGAAAAACATCAGAATTACTTTTATTTCGTGGCCAGGGTATTTTCGTCGAGAATCAGTAGAGACAACATTTATGGAGCTCAAAGTTGTTGAGGGGATCATCAAATTATAGTGCAGCAATTGTACGGTGCTGCACTGTGCTTGGTTGATTTTTGGCTGTCTCCAGAAATCTTTGTCAGTCACATGACTAACTTCGTGGTTCATCTCACCGAGGATCGGTGTAATTTTTGTTCGGCGTTGGGGCCAGAAGTTATTCCTGAAACTATCAGGATTATGATGAGTCCTGATGTTTCTATGAAGCGTACAACACATCTGAGATCTTTGCGTGACCAATCAAGGACAAAAATACGCTTTATGCATGGTTCTCTATGAATTGTTCCTCCATCTTCCTGATTTTTCTCTCTTGGTCTAAAAACTCAATTTACCAAACGCATCATTGACTAAATTTTGCAATTTAACAGATTTTTCCCAGAACCTTGTCGTTTTTCTGCAAGGACAATTTTAAATTCCTTGTGATTTACTGAGCTTAATATACTGCATAGTTCTATTCGTAATGGGATTTTATTTTGCGATCTTGTTGTGGGTTTCCACCTCAAATCCTGGTACCTTTTTAATAGCTTTAGCACACAAGGCACTAGGGTGCTGTTGATTCCCAAATGGCTTGTGGAAAGAGTGTACATGGGCACTATGACCACAGTTAAAATTAGGAAGCGTGAGAGGACAGTGAAATAGAAAAATAGTCATTGTCAATCACTGTTCGTGAGAAATACATCGACATAATAAATAAAGCATCAGCAAAATCATGTTGTCGAAGACGGCATGACGTGTTTGTTGTCTGGAACGTCTTTAAAAAAAAGGGGGCTCCAAACAAATCTGACCATGAATTCCAAGAATTTAAGACTCGGATATTACATTCCTTTAAGAGTTGAATCCTCTGGACCTTGGTGGATGACATCCCATGAAGGGATGACGGCAGGGCGTCTATAAAGAGATTTTACAGTGTCAGTTGCTCAATAACCTTTCAGAAGGTAGGCACATGGAGTGTTACAAAACGGAAGTTCATTGACAGGAAGGGGTCGAGAGTTAAAGTTAACTGATGAGGAAAATCGAGTAAGGTTAACATATTTTAAATTTTTCCCCACTCTGTTCCTGTGAGAAAGGTAAACACATTTGGTTAGAAGCAAAGAAACTGATATTATACCAAGAAAAATTCAAGAATCAAACTTCTTAACCTTTGCCGACTATTCAACCAAATGTTGTGCTTTTGTTGTGAAAAAGCTGCCTTTTTCATTTATAGGATTGCTCGATTTACCAGATTTTGTTGTGGCTAGGAGCGAATTCAGCTTTCATGCTAGCCACTTGTTAGTGAAAATCATACAATTTGTATTTAACTATGGTCATAACTACCTTTATGAGAGGTCAAGTCGTTACATAGTCAACAGACTTGAAGGAGAATTGAGTAAAATTTGTTTTATCTCAGTGGAAGAAATGTAGGTGTCAAAATGGGATTCTAACTAAATTTGTTCTTCTCGTTTGAAATGTTTTCTCATTTCTGTGTTCAGGTTGACTGGGTCATAGGTGAAGCAACAAATATTAACAACTTAGCTTTACTATATGAAGGATGGACACCGTGGGTGTGAAATAACAACCAACAAGACGAGTGGATAAGCACTCAAGGGAAAGTATTTTGATTTTATCTCCGCAGTTTTGACGGAGCTCCACGGCAGGTCGTCCGCGGCCTCGAGAGGAGGTCATTGGGGAAGTTTTTAAATCTTGGAATCAACCGCGACCGGGAACATGCAATGAGTATAATCTTACTCTTGTGTAAGACGTCTTGCTCTTGCAGATTTTCTTGGTACCAACGCAACAGGTACCATTGTACTGGAATTTCCCATATTTTGATTCCTATGATAAATTATTTTTAAGAGATCTGTTTTTTAAGGATGGAAGTTTTGTTTAAGTTCATAGTTGTCGAGAATCAACTTTTGAAATCAAGGTGGCCTTGATGTAACACCGATGGTATCCTTGCTCTTTTTATCTTTTCTTTTTCCTTTTTCCTCTCCTTTCTCTTCATTTGCTTTATTTACCAGGGCTCAATTTTTATTTTACCTTTCTCCAGTCCTTAAGTTCAAAAAATGTGAGAAAGTGACTCATATGCTCCTTTTTTCCTTTTAATGTGGAATAGTAATTTCCTTGTTCATTTCTTTAATTTCAAGAAAGATACTTATTTCTTTAAGTTTCCTCTCCTACTGTTGTTTCCTTTTTTCTCATTCTCCTCTCTCATATCTTTTCAATTGTTGTATAATCAAGTGGAAGCATTGATAAATTGAATTTGTTACTCCTCTCCTTTCCGTTTTATAGTAACTTATTCTGAGGAGACTAACTTGAGACAGTGGATCATTTTTTGAAAATTTGATGTCTGTTTTTTTCTGATGTTGTGGAGAAATTAAAAACTTGATAGCTTCAAAATCTTAAGGAATAATTGGCCAAGGAAAGATGCAGAACATAAATTTGTTAAAACAAGTTTCATGTTGCATATTGAGAAACTGTGAACAGAAAGGTCTATTCCGTTGAAATGCAGTAAGTTTTTGTGTCTTGACATTCTCTCTTTTTTTCTGAATTAATCACAACATGTTAACATCATTTAAAATGTTTCATAAATTAATATCTTTGACATTGCTTAGACAGTGAATAAATCCTTTACTCACAGTCGTGTCTTCATTCTCTATGCATATTCCTTTAAGGGAAATGCATAATAATGTCGTCCTCAGGCCCTCTGAGTTCAAGGAGTGAACATCACACTGTCTCCAATTAAAAATTTTCACAGAGTATATATTCTTCCAAATCCTACCAATTATTTAAAGTTATTCTCATTAATACTGCAACAGAAAACTAAAAGAAACTTTCTAAATTTTATCTCTTGATAAAATTAATTTTCTTATGATATCCTTGTCCAATGTCCATGCTTTATCTGGTCAAAGGCCAGCCAAAAGTATGTATTTTGCCTCAGTGTTTCACTTCCTTTTTTTTCGCTGATTTTAGACAATGATCTGTTCTTACTTACCTGAACTCCTCTTACACTGATAATACTAATTTAAGGTTTTCATTGAAAAAATCGTCTTTCTCCTATGACGGTTTGTGACCCGTATGATTGCCATCTTTATCAATGTTTTTAAATAATTTTTTCTCTCCATAGTCTAGCTTTCAAAAATTGTTTTCTAAGGAGTACAGCCTCTCGTCATTTTTTGTTTTCTCTTTTCTTCAAAAAATTGAAAGAAAAGTTAAGATTCATCTCTCCTCCCTATCTATCATTTGACCTTCATTGAATTTTGTCTTTCACGTGAATGAGATGCTTTCTCACTAACATAATTTTGTTCGTCAGCCTTTCAAAAATGCTTCCATTTCATTCTATTATCGTTGAAGTTTCTCATTTGTACCATTTTTTGTCCGCATCATTTGTATTTGTCCACCATTCATTGTCATAAAAAAAAATTTACATACCGCGCTTTCTTGAACGGATGATACTTTTTACAGAGGAGGATCTGTCATCCAAAGGATGAAGAACAAAACATTACCTACTTCATGATTTATCATGATTTTATCAACCCTTTTTGTGCCAAAAACATGTATACCGAATAGAATAATTCTCCTATGAAATTATCCGAATATCATTGCCGCAACCTTTCTTCAGAAGCTCGTGTCAAGTTTTTATTAATATTTAAGAAGTATCTTAATAACTGCTTAAAGAGTTCCAGCGCTTGAATTTTTAGGAGAGATGAAGCTTTTATTCAAGTCAAATCTGAAAAATGTGTTAACTGTAAAGGTCTTCTGATTAAAATCAAATATCATTGCTCAGATGATGCAATTTTGTCATTAAAAGAATAATAATAATAATACTGTTACCATCCCTCCATTTGGAAAAAATTTAATTTTTCTGTCATTGTTTATTGTTCAAACCAAGGAAGGTTTTTATTTTTTCAAGTGTCACCATCCCTCCATTAGGGAAAAATCTAATTTTTCCGTCATTGTTTATTGTTCAAATCAAGGAAGGTTTTTATTTTTTCAAGTGTCCTTTTCATCATGTTCTTTTGGAACGATAAGTAGATTTTGCGGTCATTTTGTTTTGTATAAGAAGTGTCCTATCAATTCTCATCATTTGAACTGACTAACTAGTGCTGCTTAAGACATTTTCAAAGACAATAGTGTAATGGGACATCGCACAGCTAAAGAAGTAGCAACTAAGTTTTCAGTTGTAATACTAACATATTGTAGAAAGATTCATGGCTCATGCAGCAGTATCCAATTAATTAGCTCATTTGTTGCACAAACGAAACTTTGTCTGTCGTCCTTACTTTATTAACAGAATGGAGAAGGCATTTTGAATTTACATTTGAATTACATGTGAAATTTGCTTGCCATCTCTTCTTAGTTCTGTTCATCCAACAGTCACAGTTATGTCAAACAAATTCTAAAGAACATACTCCGATCCCATTAGTCTGTTCTTATTATTATAGATCTTTTCTTCCTACCCCTTCCTTTTTATAATTTCTCATCTCTTGTCTTTACTTTGAAAGAAAGGAAAATATATGTTATAATTCTTGCATTCAATAGTATATATTTATTCATTTTTGTCAGCCTAAAAAGTCTCTCTTTTCAATTTTGTCGATGCAAAAAAAAAATATTGATCGATCCTAATGGGCTTGAGTGGGAATTTGTACATTAGCTCAAGTTGGAGGTCATTGCCAGACATGTCTACCTGCTGTTTAGATAAAAATCAAAATAGGTTAGGCCTAATAGGCCTTAAGGCAAGAAAATAACTGAAAAATAACATAATTTTCTTTATTTGACTTTTGCATAAAAGGATTTTACAAATGCATCATATTTTACATGGTTATTATTAGGTACAAGGGTGGATTGTAAAGTAAATTTACTTATTTTATTTCTTAAGAACTATCAATGCTGAGAATGAACCAAACTTGTGTTGAAATATGCATATTCTCAGCTTTCTAACAAGTTAAAGTTTCTTGAATTTGGTTCTAGCATTGCAGAGAAATCATACATTTTTCACACACGCCTCTCCTCCAAACAATGCATCCAGTTATCATTTGCTGCAGAACTTCACAAAAAAAATAAATCAAAGTTGTAGAAAAAGTAAATTAGAGACAATGTCTCATCGAATAACATTAATTTTACAGAATCTCTCTTCACTTTTTTGATGTTGTCACCAGCCAAATGCTTGCATTTTTCTTATCACTGCAATTACCTCCGTATATTGGTCCCCTAAAAATCTTTACTTGGCAAAAGTTATGATTTCTTTGCAGGACATGAACCAAATTTGATAAACTATAGCTCATTAAAAAGTTGAGTGTATTTGCGTTTTTAATGATATGTACCTAGTTTGGTTTTTTCCTGAGCAATGATAGCTCTTGAGTAATTTGAAAAGTAAAATTACTTTAAAATCCATCCAGGTACAACATCAGCTTACTACCAAGTTGAGCTGTTTAAAAGGTCCACATTTAATATGAATTCATTGAAAGTATATGGACATGTTTTCTATAAAATATTCTTTTACCTTCATTTGGAACTTCAGTTCCTTTGCAGGTTTCTTCCGTCATTTGGTAATTTAATGAGCAATTTGTGTCCTATGATAGCATGGTCACTGTTATGTTTTATAGCTGCAGTGATTTTGCTATTTCTAGTTTGGCAAGGTCGTTGGGCTTCTGGTTCTGTAATTTTGATATCCAGCCTCCATTATTTGATGATTCTCACCAATTTACACGAATAATCCCGCACACCCTCCTGAGTGCCTGTTCATGGGGCCTATGCATCAAAAATGCACCCAGATACGAATGCATCACCATGCATATAGCTTCAGAATAAACTTATTAAATGATTGTCAGTACATCGCGGTCGAATGTGTGTCTGCTAGTTCAAACAGGGAGGGGGAGGGTTGGTAATTTGATGGTTCACCAAAAATTACTCTGTAAACATACGAGTCCCTTCAATTTTAGCTTTTTATCTTTAAAAATACAAACATTTTTGGTATAAATAATTCATCTTCATTTTTTGTCTTCGCCAGCCCATGAGGGGACCCATTTGTTTTTATTCCTTCTCCGTTCAGTGTTAATTGTCCAATTGCTTTGAGGTTGGAGATTGTTGTTAGGGTCTGCTACAATCTTGAATGGTTTGCCATTTGTCGTACTTTCACCATCGGCAGGACAGACCTCTAGCCGATATGAGGGCCGCTCTTCGTTCTTATTTACTCTTCGTCTTCTTGACCTGTAACAATATTTTAATGCAAAACACTTTAAAAACAAAAAAATACCACGGACAAGTTTAGTAGCCATGGAAGTGTTAATTTTGACATATGGAGCGGACTTTAAAAATGAATTTTCTTAGTAGGTACATAGCTTGATTTTATGAGTGTTCTTTTCTTTACTATTGCATCTGAAGTTTATTTCATTTTGTATTTTGATGGCAGTTCAAACGACAAATACTTATTAGAATGTAGAAATTTTTAGAATTTTTGTATCGACTGCATGAGCACATAAATTTTTCATAAATGGTATTAATGGCGTGATAAGAACACTTCAGATGCTGTCAGGGCGTACTTTTTGCACGATAATTGACCTGCTTTTAATAAAAATGACGAACTGACACACTTTTTCAAAAACAACAATAATTTTTTTATTGTTCATTTGTATGTTTTATTGCCATAGCGGTTGACTTAGACGTTTGTCACCTTAAAAAACTGTGTACAAAATTTAAGTGCAACATTGAGTGTGAGTGAACACGAAATTTTTCTTCGGAGACTCTTCTCTTCCCTCCAAGGAATAATAGTGAACTTTTTGAGTCAGTAATTAAAATATGCCATTTCAACTCGAAATGATTTTCAGAGTAAAATTGTGAAGAAAAATGGTTTGAAAAAAAAAAGGACCAAAATCGAAGCATTTCAACGAATTTTGACAGTTGCATTGCTCGAGTCTGGATGCTCCAGTTAAAAGTTGCAAAAGAGATTACTTACCTACCTACCTACAAGGCGCAATCTGACCAAGAAGTGAAAATTCTTCACTCTCAGAAATAGGTTCTTAGCTCTGTTTGATCGTGCAGGGTCATTAGACAAGGTATGGATTAAAGCACAAGGCTGCATGTTTTCTCTTCAAAATTTCACAAGGCAAGCAAATTACACAACTGGAAGTCTAAAAGTGAACTCCTTAACAAGATTTATATAAACATCAACATTGGTTAAATGGCAAAAATGCAAATGACGTCATTGGTATAATGGGCCTGTTGCATGCAAGAGATACAGCCGCGCGAATAGACTTTTTACAGGTTAAATGACACGAAAATTACGATGGCCACGTTAAAAAAGTCTGAAATACACTCCTTACTGCGCAATTTGCGTTGTTAGGAACGCGCTTTTTCAAATTTCCCGCGTCTGGGGGCAGTTTTCTAATCACCGGAAACTAGCAAACGGCGGGCTCGGTGATTTCCGGAAGATGCCGAATCGTTGTTGTTGTTGTTATTTTTTCCTTCAGTTTGTTTACAAACCCAACGTGATCTCCTATAGTGGTCCATATACGCTTATGCGGTAACCAAATCGATCAACTTTTAAATATCCAACGCAATCCTTCTACATTTCATTTCACGATGTCACTCACGAGCTCCAATTTTTAGGTTATGTTGTCAGTTTTAGTTGACCGGAAATAGCCGCGAGTTGCCGTTAATTGTTTCCGTTAGAAAACTGCCCCCAGACGCGGGAAATTTGAAAAAGCGCGTTCCTAACAACACAAATTGCGCAGTAAGGAGTGTATTTCAGACTTTTTTCATGTGACCATCGTAATTTTCGTGTCATTTAACCACTAAAAAGTCTATTCGCACGGCTGTATCTCTTGCATGCAACAGGCCCATTGAACTTCTAATTGGACTGCATTTTGCAATTTGGAATTATAAATTCTGGCTCTTCTAGAAAAACACTTATGTGCATAGGGGAACTAATGGCACATACGTTGTTTTTGAACCGGGCTAGAATTTATAATTCCAAATTTCAAAATGTACCTAGTCCAATTAATCTGTGTTCTAAAGACTTGTTAACATCTCGTTCTGGAGCTGTTTTCAAAACAACCCGTTGTGTAAAATTTTTTTCTACGGAAGATTTTGAAGAGAAAGCATGTGGAGTTTTCCTCCTACTTCAGCTACCTTGTCTAGTTGCCCAATAGAACGGAATGACCATGTGAGAATCTCACCGGTTTTTCGAGTCGTCGGTACTGTTAGCGGAGGGCGAGGACGAGGACGAGACGGAGAGAACTTTGAAGGCGGTCTCGTTGTACCCGTCGAAGTCGATGTGGTCGGGGCCTTCCCGGTGGAGCTTTCTCTGGGCGAAGTTCTTCTCCTCGAGCGGGCGGTCGGTGAAGTTAGTCTTGTACTCCGGATCCGCGTAGAAGTCCCCCTCCATCCGCAGATGGGTCTTCGGGCGACTTTTATCGGCCTTGACGATGCCGTGCTGCACGAAGTTCTCCCGGTTTTCGGTCTTCTGCCCCCTGTAGCCTCCGCTGGGCCGCTGCAGACGGTCCGGGATCTTCCCCGCCACAGCCCTCTCACGCGGGTGGTTCACGAAAGTCGACCTGTACTCGGGGTCAGCCTCGATCCGACCTTCCATCCGAAGACTGGTTGGCGGTCTTGCAAGCTCCGATCTCGGCTCAGGGATTCCTTTGAACTCGGATTTTTGTTCGCTCGTCGCCTCCAGCTCTCCTTCGGGCTGCAAGTGAGTCTTTGGCCGCGGGAAGAACGGTCTGTCTGCCTTCGGGTCCACGAACTTCTCCCCTTTTTCCGTGCTCGCATCAAACTCACCCTCCGTGTGGAGGTGTGTTTGAGGTCGTGGAAACGGGGGTCGTTTAGCTTCGAATTTCTGGAAGTGCTCCCCCATTTCAGTGTTGGATTCGAACTCGCCCTCCGTGTGGAGGTGTGTTTGAGGTCGTGGGAACGGGGGTCGTTTTGCTTCGAATCCCTGGAAGTGCTCCCCCATTTCAGTGTTGGATTCGAACTCGCCCTCCGTGTGGAGGTGGGTCTGAGGTCGTGGGAACAACGGCCGATTCGCTTCAAACCTTTGGAAGTGTTCACCTTTCTCCGTGCTTGGATCGAACTCACCCTCCGTGTGAAGATGTGTTTGAGGTCGTGGAAACGGGGGTCGTTTAGCTTCGAATTTCTGGAAATGCTCCCCCATTTCAGTGTTGGATTCGAACTCGCCCTCCGTGTGGAGGTGGGTCTGAGGGCGCGGGAACAGCGGACGATTCGCCTCGAACCTCTGGAAGTGCTCGCCCTTCTCCGTGCTCGCGTCGAACTCGCCCTCAGGGTGGAGATGGGTCTGGGGTCGGGGGAACAAGGGGCGAGGGGTCTCGAACCTGACGAAGTGCTCTCCTTTCTCAGTGCTCGGGTCGAACTCACCTTGGGTCTGCAGGTGCGTTTGCGGGCGCGGGAAGAGAGGGCGCTCTGCGTTGGGGTGGCGGAACTGATCGTCGTACTCGGGCCGGAACTCGATGTCGCCCTCCATGCGGAGTGTTTCCGGGTGGCGGAGCGGTTCGCTGCGGGAGGCCCCGGGATGCTCCACGAACTGGTCGTGGTTCTCCGTGCGGGTCTCCATGTCCTCGGTCGGGATCTGGATATGGGTGCCGCGCCGGAGTAATCGTGCCCTCTCTCCATTCTTCGGTCCGAACTGGTCGTGTTGCTCCGTGGCTGTCTCCAGGTCGCCCTCCATCCTCAGGTGACTGGATTGTCTGATTGGCTCGCTCCGTTCTACATTACCATAGCCACGATACGAACTCTGAACTTCGGTTCCGTCCTTGGAGAACTCGCCCTCCGATTGGAGGAGTGTGTTCTTACGCTGGAGCTCGGCTCTCTGTGCACCCTCGTGCGGAACGAACTGCTCGTGCTGTTCCGACTCGACCTGACCGAGTTTACCGAAGTTGGGTTTCTGCTCTCGGGGCTTTCCGCGGATCTTCCGGAGGAAGCTGTCCATGTGACCGTGGTAGGCCTGAAGGATGGCTTCGAAGGAATGGGCCTTGAAGCGGCGCTTGTACTCGCTCTTGAGGTGGGCGAAAGAGCCGGACTCGAGTTTGATATGGGCGGCGTCGCGGGGGATGCGGCGGCGGCAATGTCTGGCTAGTTCGTCGACGGTGAGGACGCTCGTCGGGTCCTGCCAGTACTGGACGCGGCTCGAGTCGAGGATCGGCTCTGACGAGGACTTCTCGGCTGGATCACTGCTCGACCAACATTTACCCTTGCTCCCACCTCCACATCCGCGACTCCCATACGGGCTTCTACTCCGCCCAGCACGGCTGCAACATTAAAAAAAAGAAAAGGCATTAGTAATTGAGTAATGTACGTATAGAAATGAGGATATTGTGAAACTAAAGAAACACTTATCTCACCTCACGGCGTCGGAGTCATTCCCTGCCGAATCAGCCAGGGACTGTGCATGAAAAAAGATGGATTGCTGATTTAGCAATTCAGTTGTTAAAAAAAAGTGACTACAATGTTTCAAATGTACATTTTACAATCTTGGAAAGCTAACTGAACCACGGGGGTTAAATTACCATTTTTTTTTTAATGTAAACTCTACTTACATTGAAACATCGCAGTCACTTTTTTTAACTACAAAATTGTTAAATCATCAATTTAATTTTTTCCGAGTGCTCTAGTGACTCAGAAATGGTTGAAACTGTGTATATACATGTTGTTCATTTAAGTTTAAAAGTAGTATATCGACGGTGAAACTACCAAACCACGTATCTCGTTTGCGGTGTTTAAAAATCTACGCTCACATTTTATTTTTTTGAAGTAGACCAAATCAATCTCATTCCTTGAAATTTTCACGGAATTTTCTTCGCACAAAGAGGAAAAATCTCAGAAATTTTTAAGACCGGATGTTAAGTAGTTTTTCATTTAAAAAATAAAGTATGACAGGGTCTGCGACGTCGCAAACCGAGATACGTGGTTTGGTAGTTTCACCGTCGATATATATTTTATTTTAATTTTTCAAAAATATTTAAGCGCCGCAGCTTTGCCATATGACTCCGATGTAAGGGGATAATGTTGTTAAAGGTAATTAAAATATCTCGCAAAGGAAACCGGTTTCCAGTATCAATCCGATCGCTTCATTTGTGAGCCCTATTTCCGGTTTCTAGTGTACGATCCCGTCATCAACGAGATCGATTTCCGGTTGCGGATGTCCAGCCATCATATCTATCCAGCCAATAGGTATCTAGAGTCCCGAAGAAATGGCATCGGGCCGCGGCATCTATCCAGCCAATATCCGGTATCCGATCACGTCATCCGTAAGCCCGAATCCCGTCTCTAATATTCGATCGCGTCACTTGTGAGACCAATATCCGATATCCGGCCGCCATATCCATACAGGCAATTTCCGGAATCCTGTAAAAACATCATTAGGTAATTGGTATGTTTAGCATGAATTCATTTTCGGGACCAAGAAAGTGTTCAAAGAGGCAGCGAGGACATAGCGATAAATACACTGAAGGGGTAAAAAATAGGAAGTTGAGCTGGGATGCTGCGTAGGTCTTAGAGTGGCAAGTACAATAAATTTTGGCGGGTAAGTTCATCATGATTAGTAAGAACCTGTCAGCAAAAATTAGGAGTACTCATAAACATTCCATTCCTTCGACTCGTCCTAACGCCAAAGCAAATTAGGTTTACGTAACAATCGTTACATAAAAACTTAAAGTTTTAACAAGTCTCAACCGTCCTAGCCATGCATCCACCGAAAATAACACGCAACATACTAATGGGCCTATACTCTATCATAAACTCCATCTTCATCAGCGAAGACCTAGCTCCATGGGCGGAGGGGGGGGGGTGTCCGGACCCTTCAAGATTGTAAGTAATTTTAGGAAATAAGTTTAGTGAGATTTCCGTCATTTTTGAAATTATATATCAATCAATTTCTCAATAGGTACATACAAGAAACAGCTCAAAATTGCTCCTAAGACGTCTCAGTTTTCAAAATTTTCCGAGGGCTTTTGAGCCCCCCTTTGGAAAGTGGGGCAGTTCAAGTACAATTTATAAAGCACTTTGGTCGTCTTTTTAACCTCCCATTCCCTTCTGCGACACCCGAGTGGCAATCTCTATGACGGGAAACTGGCCAGACTCCCCCTCCCCTCTTTGCTTGTAAAGAAAAGGCGAAAATCTGCATGAAAATAGTTGGAAAAATTATTCTTAGGGGATTTTTTTCCTCCTTCATATTCATACGCCAACAAGGTCCTAAGAAACGGAATTGATGAGAGAAGAAGGATAGATTAAAGAGAGGGAGAGAGCGGACATCCATACCCCTCCAAAGTGACAAGGTCGCTGAAACCATTAAATTATATTTGCTTTGTATACCGTTTACAAATAAAGGGAAGAAAATTAGTATTTTTTTAATTTTCTATCAGAGTAAATGACAAATGGTCCATTCATAGTGTACCTGTGCAAAAAACTTTAAAGTCACAAGTTGAAAAACGCTCCGCGAGTTCGAATGATCGCCCTAAATATTGCGGTCGGCGCGGAACGACTGTTAGCGCCTGCAGGACTGCGTGAATACTTCTAGCATTGCGCGTAATGCACGGTGCGCGCTACGCTCTGTTAGTGCTTGCAAGACTGCATGAATACTTCACGCATTGGCAATGTCCAACCGCATAGTATCAAGAGAAGTCAGTTATATCGTTGTGAATCGATAATTTCATCCTAAATCCTTTATTCGTACCTTTCGGAACGCTTCTTTTGTTAGATTCAACTCACGATCAATGAAATATTTAAACTTACTTCGGTTTTCAACTCAAGTTTTCTCCAAGACCAATCCACACAGGTCAGTCATTGCGCAGCTTTTTTGAAATCCACTCCCCCGCCCGGCCCTAACTCGCAGCTCTCATTGTGACGTACTATTGAGTGCACTCATAAGAAATACATTGTATGCACTCAATACTACGTCACTGCGCAGTAGAGTACCAAAATTCGTCCTCGGGAATGACTGACCTGTGTGGATTGGTCTTGGTTTTCTCTTCCCAAGTAGCAGTGATCGCGATAAATAACGATTTTGTCGGTTGGTTATCGCGATTATATCGGTGGCAATATATCGAGATTTTATCGATTAAATCGCTACACATCGCAATATTTGGATCGATAAAATCGCGATCGATTTTCGCGATAAATTGCCGGTCGATTTTATCCCGATAAAATTGCAATATATCCCGATTTTTACGTTCAAAAATGCTACTTGGGCTATGTTCCTTCTTATGATAAAACGGCAAGAAGAATCTTTTGAAATGAAGGAGAAAATCGGGACAAGAGAAGGCCATATTCAAGAGTGACGAGCGAGTGGGTAATCCAAAAATTAAACACCTCAAGGTTCAAGTTGAAGGCTGCAATTAAAAGTCATTGATAAGGATAAATGGTTAAGCCCGGGAAAAGTGTGTAATCTAGGTCAGAAAAACATTAGTTGTCTCCGCTTATCTCCAGATACAGTCGCAGGAAGTAAGGGGGTGGAGAGGCTCATAATTGTCTTACCTCAACTCGGAACTACCCCTAAGCACGCTATCGCACGTTTAGTTTCGGCTCCGATTTTCGCGGATGACGCTGGCGCTGCTATCCCTGCCCCGTCCCCACTTCTCTGACATAAGAGCGTATCTTAATTTCCACGTGAGCCCTGCCCTCTATATAATGACATGCTTTTTGGGGCTCATGTGGAGATAGAGATAAGCTCTTACGCCAGAGGAGCGACGCTCTCTGTTGTTCCACCCTGTCCCTGCTCGATCCGCAGGTTCAAATGCTCGACAAACTGCATTTAACCTGCATCGAGCAATTCGTTGTCCGATTGAATAGTGGAACTTTCGTACATTCATAATTTCAAGGAAGTCGGTTGTGCCTATCTCCGCTATGTGAAAATCAAACCACTTCATGTACCTTTTTCGCAGGATCTACTGGTTTTTTCTTCCTTCTTCTTTTTGACTAATTTCTTAGAACGTCTTCTTTCATTCGACGAGTGGTCTTTTTGATTTATTGAAGTTTCAAATTTTTTGGATTTTTTATTAATTTTAATTTTTAAAATTTGGAGGAAATAACCCAAATATTAAAAAAATCTTCTAAAATTAGAAATTTCAAAAAATCAAAAACATTGTAAGTCAAATGAAAGAGGACGTTCTGAGTTTGAAGTTTCAAGACGGCATAGTGTAAATAGGAACCGATAGGTCTGTATTTTACGAAAAGTTGGAGCCAACTAATCATTCAATAATAGTAATTTTAGAACACGAATACGATGAAAATATGCAAACAATTTCGATGACCAAAAAGCAAAACCACGTGCCAATGGAGATCCATTGCAGTGTTTCAAAATTTCCATTCCTATTTTATTTATTTTCTTGAAGAGAGACAAGTCAACTTTCTGCCTTGAAATTTACACAAAATACCTTGCATACAGAGAGGGAAAATCGAGGAAATTTGCAAGATATCACGTTGACTACTTTTCCGAAAAAAAATTAATTTTGACCGGAAGTCTGAGACGTCGCAAACGGAGATACGTGGTTTCCCACTCTGGCCATCGATTTGTGTAATACCTATGTCATTCTAGATGTATTGAGAAAAACATAATAAACGGTCACAATCAGCACCCGCGGTTAAGGTGATTCGATGGACGCCATATTTTGTGTCAGAACGGCATGCGATATATCGCATCAATTGGTTCCATTTTTTCAGCTACTCGTCATTTTTCTCCAGTTTTGAGATCGCAATTCTGTTGTCAGGAGACTACACTCACTTACCAATTTTAACAAAGAAATTCAACGTAATAAAGACGTGGTTTTTTTAGAGAGAAAACATCGCATTCAATACGGATATCAAAACTGCACTCGAATGCGATGTTTTCTCTCTAAAAAAAAAACCACGCTTTTATTACGTTGAATTTCTTTGTTAAAATTGGTAAGTGAGTGCTTTAGTCTCCTGACAACAGAATTGCGATCTCAAAATCGGAGAAAAATGACGAGTAGCTGAAAAATGAAACCAATTGATGCGATATATCGCATGCCGTTCTGAAACAAAATATGGCGTCCATCGAATCACCTTAAGTGGTGCGGTGGGGAAACTACACACTCATCATCAGAATCCGAGCTGTCAAAATTCGTCGACAAATCACGCGATTGATTTACCTTTCACCTCTTTCTTGGTAAATTAGAGCCAATTACAACGTTTGACCCGAATTTCAACTGTCAAATAGAGCAAGCTCTGAAAAAGCCGGAGTATGAAAATAAAACAACAAGCTCGTCAATCCCCTCGGCTAAAGTCTTTCCAG